GATCCTGACGCCATAGACAAAGTCACATTTTCATTAATGATAACGAAATTAGATATCTCTGAAATGTATGAAACTGACATAAGCTTTCGAAATATCACGTGGTCGATCGTTTTCGATCGCTAAGTGCTAGACCAGTGATGCACAGATTTATTAAGACTAGGGGCCACTCGGGCAAATTATGAACTGATGGCGGGCCGCCAGAGTATATGTAATTAAAGACAATAAAGAATTGATAATAATGTATTCAAATTGAAAAAGAATTTATTAATTTAAAGCGTGGCACTGCATAGTGCTTGCAATCTTTTTTTATATTTGGCTCAAATTTACTTGTAGCAACACGTAAAACTGCTTCCAAACTTTCATTTGCAAGGCGGTTTCGATTTTTTGTTTTATTATTATTTAGTATTGAAAAGGTTTGTTCACATATATAGGTAGAACCAAATAAGCCGACACATTTCAGAGCGTTTATGCGCAACTCTTTGTACGTCTTTTTATCAATGCAGCGGTAAAAGTTCTGCAAGTCTCCTTCGTTGAATTTGTTGCGTAAATCTTGGTCGTTTTGAATGTCGATAATTTCTAACTGCATTGACTCTGGCGCATTTTCAACTGAAATCGTGAAAGGATTGCTGATTATGTCCAAAACAGGTTTCACTTTTTTTAAACTCCGAAAATCTGTCTTGAAAAGATTGAATCAAAATTTCTAGCTTTTCTACATAACTGAAATTAATCGCAGTTTTGTTAAATTTTTCAGCCATTTTCTGATAATTCCGAAAATGATTGTAATTTCCAGAATTCAATTGCGATCTGAAAAGTGTCAGCTTGCATTGAAAGGATGATACATGAGCGTAGAGCTGGGATATCAGTTGATTTTTGCCTTGAAACTGTGTTCAAGACATTCAAATGATTTGTAATATCAACAAAAAAGGCTAAATCACACAACCAATCAGGATTTTTAAGTTCCGGGACATCCCTTTGCTTTTCTGCCAGAAATATTCCAACTTCTTCTATTAAATTTAGAAATCGTTCCAGTGTCAATCCACGACTTAGCCACCTTACTTCTGTATAATACAGTAAATCTCCATATTCGCTTTCGATGTCATCAAGGAATTGTTTGAATTGCCTGTGATTGAGTCCTCGTGATTTTATGAAATTTACATTCGAAATTACCACTTTCATGACATTTTGAAATTCTATTTTTTTCGAACAAAGGGCTTCTTGGTGTATAACGCAGTGAAACTGCATGAGATCTTCAGCGTTTATGTTTTTTTCTTGCAGATGCTTTTTCAGCAAAGTAACTAGCGCAGAATTGACACCAATCATAGAAGGAGCACCGTCAGTCGCAACTTCCGATAATTTTGATAAGTTTAAATCAGTTTTTGAACACTCATCCAAAAATACATTGAGTATATCAACTCCTGTTCTGTTCCTCCTTTCAATGAACATATTCCTAATAACTCTTCTAAGACTTCAAAATCTTGAGCTGTGGAACTAATATCAGTGGATTCGTCGAGTGCTAATAAAAAAAATTCAATGATCTTAGTTTTATCATTTAATTGTTCCGCAATGTTACCTGACAAAGACATAATTCGTCTTTGAATAGTCATACGATTCAGTTGAATTTTCTCAACCTTTTTTTGCTGTTTCTGGACAGATTTTCTTAGCGGCAATTTCTATGCATTCTTTTACAAAATCCCCATCATTGAAGGGGCGACTTCGCTTTTCTATCATTCGAGAAATTTCATAACTAATTTCTGTAGCTGTTCCTGAATCTTGAATGGGTTTTGTAAATGTAGCTTGCTGACCAATAAGCTCCCGTTTTAAAGACAACATTTTTTGCTTTCTTAATTCGCCTGTAAACTTGGTAAAAATAGGATGCTGCGTTTCATAGTGCCTTTTTTACATTATATTCCTTTGCAATCGCAACAGAATTCTTGCAAATTAAACAAACGAATTTGTTATGCGACCATACAAAAAAGTATTTCTCAGTCCAAATTTCTTGAAACTGCCGATTTTCATCTTTAACTTTACGTTTTTTACTAGGTCCTGGCTTGTCCATGTTGCGTTCTAATCCTGGCTAAGATTAACACAGCACCTAAAAACAATTACAGCACCTACTTAAATTACCCATCCTTTTTTTAAATTACCAAAAATAATTGATTAAATAGGTAGGGAAACACTTATTAATAACAGAGTTTTACTTACGATTTCACAACACAATTATACGTCACGGCACTTGACGGGAAATCTTCGTTGAATGTGGATCAAAATATATGACACCGGCTAGTCGAATTAAACTCTATACTAGAACTATTGACACTTCACTCAATTTAAAACCGAACTGTCGGTCGCTGCGGTTAGCGTGGCTTTTATACTGCGCGTATAGAGTCGAAAACTGTCTGGAGAAATCACGAAACCAACTCGGGAAGCTTTGTGTATCTACCTACGCGAGAAATCGGGAATTCGGGACTATTGCTATCTCGCTTGCTCTAACAATATAACCCGTGGATAAGCCGCCACCGCGCTGCCGTCGTCGCCGCGCCGCCAGCCGCGGCGATTCCTCAAGAGAACGAATTTAACCGAGATCAGTACGAACATTACCGACCGCTGTTACCGACGCATGCACGGCGCACCTAAGAGCGCGCACGCGAGATTCAAATTAATTTTCGAACATATTTTTTTTGGTTTTATTCTAGAATATAATTCAATATTTTTCGAATGTACGAGAGTATTATTTTTGCTGTCGGCGGGCCACCAGTATTTGACCGGCGGGCCGCGATCTGTGCATCTTAGTGGTAGACAATGTCAAACCACGTAACGAAACGATAAAGAAAACTAATAACACGAACGATATTATCTCTTTGACTAGAAAAAAAGAAAGGACATGACATAACTACGAAAAAAACGTGTATACCTAAACTGAGTCTGGCACAAAGATGGCGGCTTGACGTAGTGGTGCACACTATACTTGATATCGATAATGTGCCGCTTATTTAGAAAAATATTCTTTCGTGTGATTCATCTCAAACACCCGTGTGTTCTTAGATAGGTTTTTTTTAATCAATATGACGGATTTTTGATGCCAAATTGTAAGTCCTTAATTTTTTTACTCAACCTATCGATAGGGGTATCAAAATAAAGGAAATTAAAAGGAGATTGCTGAAATATATTATAAATTATACCTATGTTTTAAGCAGTCGTTTTTGTTTTATTTTTATAATGTAACTTATCTATAATTAATGTTACAATTATTTCCCGGGAATTACTGAATAAGAAAAATCGTTTAATTAAAGAATTTTTGTTTGTTTGTTAGATAACAAATTAGGCTCAGTCACCATACTTATATTAATCAAAATATAATAATTGCAAAAGTTTGAATGTTTGTTCCTTAATCAGGCCAAAAGTATCAGACCAGTTTGAATGTAATAATTAGGCACACAAATAGTTTATTACCTGAATTAACATATAGGATACTTTTTATCCCGATTTAGATTCTGCGGATTAGAATAAGAAATTCCGTAATAATCGAATTTCACGAGAGAAACATATGAAAATAACACACTGACCTTACTAAAGTCGCAATGACAACTGATATAGTTGTCATTGACTGTGAAAAAAGATGGCGCCTGGCCGCTGCGAAAAAATTCTTGCCATATTCGGTAATGATAAAACTACTGTTGTCCTTTTTTACATACGAATATACACATAAGCTAAAAAGAGACGCCGATATTTCGTTACATTCCTACAACTAACGATCTTTATGTCATGTCCTTTGTTTTTTCTATAGTCAAAGTATTATCTTAGCAATGCGTAGACAAGTGGCACTTTTGAAATTCGAAATCGCTGAGAAGTCGAACCGTTCATTCGACACCTTAGCGAACGCTTGAACCCTTTAGAAAATAAAAACAACATTGCTGATTGTTAGTCAACTGTTGGTATTATTTGCATCAATTCGCGTTCGTTTCTCGTAGTTTTGAGTGATAAAAATACATACATTGCATTTAATAAGGGCTACACATAATGAGAAACAAAAATGAAACAACTACAAGCAAAAAATGGAAAGAATGGATGTTTCCGAATTTTTTTTTGTTCGTGGCGTTGAATGTCTTTTTAAAAGAATGTTATATTTTTCGTGCTTTCATGACCTACCGTGGTAAAGGAAGTTGCACTTAAACATATTCGTAATCTTATACGTGCACAATCTAATAGTCGTCGAGGTTTGATTAAATTAGATTGTGGGTAAAATTAACTTTTTTTGCGGATATTGTTAATATTAATTTTGTATGTACGCACAGTACGCAGTTACTTGATGAAAACCCTATCTTCCGGGATACAGAACAGCAGCGGGACACGCAGGCTCAGCGTGAAGCTCGAGAAAACCCTATCTTCCGGGATACAGAACAGCAGCGAAATACGCATGCTCACCGCATAGCTCGGGAAAACCCAGTCTTCCGTGATATAGAGCAACGGCGTGATACCCAGGCTCACCAAATAGCTCGCGAAGATCCACATTATTCACAAATTGAACGAGCTAGAGACACCAGAGCTCGACAATCGGCGCGTTGTAATTCTATTAATGATTGGGATAATGTTAAACGAAAATATTTTGATAACACCAAGGAAGGATACAATCATCCTTGTTCATGTTGTGGTAGATTATGGCACAAAAATTCTGTAAGGAAACTAATAAAGCATTCTATTTCGACTAAATATAATGCAGAATTCACGTTAAGTGTATTTAATTAAAATCCTTGTGATGAATCTGCGAGTTTTGCTGTACGTGTGCTAAATATATAACTCAAGGGCGAATGCCACGATTGGCAATAGCTAATGGATTGAAGTTTCCATATATTCCCGATGTTTTGAATGAATTAACTTCAATGGAGGAGAGATTAGTAAGTCCTCGTCACGTATTTTTGAAAATATTTCGTAGAGGCCAGGGATTAGGATATCAGCATGGTTTATCAGGAAATGTTATTAATGTACCTGTAAAAATTAATAACATGGTAAAAGCTTTGCCTCGGTCGATAAATGATGACAATGTCATCACTGTAGAGTTGAAGCGTAAATTCTGTTATAAACATGGTCGAAAAGAACAAGTCCGCCCGGAAATCATACGGAGAGCAGCGGAATATTTAGTAACGTGTGATCTGTTTCGGACATATGGTATAGAACTTGAAGGTACATGGACAAATAATGAACCTGAAGACACTGTCGAATGTACCTGTAGTTCACCTGAGCAGGAGAGCAATGTTGATGAGATCCCTGATGTAAATCCTGGTGGCACAGAAACTCTGTTAGATGAAAACCAAGACATAACAATAGTTATGGCTCCAGGAGAAGGTGAAAGGCCAATTCCCTTGCTTTTTGATCGACATCTGGAAGAGCTGGCTTTAATAAAAGTACATTGCGCTATTGAGCGAAAATACCTCGTGAACTTAAGTCATTCTGAAGATACACGTTCAGAAATTTCCAGAAATGACAGGCGAGCTGTAAGACCTGATTACCTATTTACTGCCCTGAAAAAGCAACAAACTATTGCCGTCATAAATAATGTTACGACCTGTTTACGCAAAAAACTGTCAGAGGTGCCCCTGTATTTGCATGTAACGTGCTTCAAAATAATTTTTTTGACAATTTAGTTCAACATGACGATGGGTATCGTGTTCTTGGAGGAATTAGAAATTCTCCTGCTCACTGGGAAAGTGAAAAAAAAGTTGTTGGCAATGGTTAGAGAGTTCGTTGTTCCCACTTTATTTTTATCTATATCTGCTGCTGAAGTGCAATGGATTCCATTATTAATTTTGCTTAGTGAAGTAGTTGATAAGAAAAAACTTACTGAGCTTGAAGCGGAAAACTTGCCATACGATACAAAAACTCGCCTTATACAATCCAATCCGTTCATTTGCGCCACATATTTTGAAATCAAATTTAAAGAAATTCAAAAAACCTGGTCCTGTTCGTCTGGACCTTTCTTAAATTATAAAATCACTCACTTTTATTATCGCATTGAATTTCAGCATAGAGGATCGCCTCATGCTCATATGATGTTATGGTTAGACGAAGCGCCCACTTTTGTACCCTGTGATACAGCATCTGCTCGTGATATTTCCAAATTTGTTGACAATATTATTTCCTGTAACAGCACTGGAGTACCTGATGAACTTAGACGTCTACAACTACATAAACATACACATACATGCCGGCCAACATCAGATAGACTGTGTCGCTTTGGAATACCATTTTTCCCCAATGGATAAAACAAAAGTATTAATATAACTTTCAAAAAACGATCCAGAGTTCAAAAAGTCAAAACAATTGGCAAAAGACATCTGCCAAAAAATACAAAATATTCCTGCAGGAATATACACTTTCGTTGATTTTTGGACTGGATTAGAGTTAGTTATGAAGATTACATATTGGCTATTAGAAGCACCTTAAAACGACCTACGGTAGTCCTTCAACGCAGACCTCAGGATATATTTATTAATCCTTTTAGTAAAAAAATCTTAGCTTTGCACAAAAGCAAACATGGACATCCAATTCATATTAGACCCGTTTGCGTGCGCAGTATATATTGTTGACTATATTAACAAGGCTGACCGAGGGATGTCTCGTCTTTTGCGTGAAGCTTTGGACGAAGCTAAAAAAGGAAATAAAAGTGTTAAAGATTCATTAAGAATAGTATCTAATGTATTCTTAAATTCTAGTGAGATCTCTGCTCAAGAGGCAATCTATGTACTGACTGGTTTACCGTTGTCACGAGCTAGTGAAGCTGCAATGTACATAAACACTAGTTTGCCACAAGAGCGAGTGCATATTTTAAAAAGTTACCTTGAATTGCAAAGCCTCGAACCTGATTCTTCCGATATATTCCAAAAGGGTATTATTGATTATTATTTAAAACGACCACTATCGTTAGAAAACATAAGTCTTTCCCATTTTGTAGCATATTACACCTATTCCAAAAAAACTCATTCAGCTAGTTCAATAGAAACTCTCAATGACAGTTCTCAAGCAATTAATTATTCCCAGGCTGTTGAAGAAGTTGAAGCGGAAGTGAATTGGATTCCTTTGCAAGATAATTTAGGATACATACGGAAAAGAACTAAAACTCGAGTAATACGATTTCGCCGGTACAGTTACATTGATGATCCAGACAATTTCTATAGGGAACAGATGGTGCTATACATCCCTTGGCGAAGCGAGGAGGAAGAATTACTAAATCCCAACATAAATATAAAGGACATATTTTACGAGTATAAAGAAAGAATAAAGGCCGAAAGTAAACAATTCAATAAACTAGGTGATGCTGAAATGTTTGAAACATTGCTAACAGAAATAAGAAATGTAGAATTAATAAACAAAGAAGAAGATTTGCAAGGAAGAGGAGTCAACGTGGATGTATTTGAAGGCTTTGAATTTGAGACGCAAACAGTAGATATAGCAGAAGAACTCATTCCAGGCGGAAATCCCGGGCCGCAATTATGTGGTGACCCCTCAACTTTCATTGCGCAGCCACCTCTTTTGTCCCATGACGATTTTTTGATTCTAAATAGAAAACTAAATGATGCTCAAAGAGACACGTAATTTCATATTTATCAACACTTTTCCATTACTTCTCCACATCCACTATATTTATTTATCAGTGGTGGGGCTGGCGTTGGCAAAAGTATTCTGATTAAAGCAATTCATCAATGCCTAACTCTCTTATTTAACAGAGAAGCTGGTAGTAATCCCGATGAATTAAAAATACTTTTAACAGCTTTTACCGGTAAAGCTGCATTTGGAATAGGAGGGCAAACAATCCATAGCGCACTTGGACTTCCAGTGTCTCAAGCGGGCAACATTTTACCAGAGCTGTCGCTAAGTGTGGCCAATACTCTGGCCACAAAACTAGCAAAACTACGTTTAATTGTAATTGATGAAATTTCAATGCTAGGATCCAGGACATTCCATCAAATAAATCGTAGACTTCAGCAAATATTTCATTCTTCTACCTTCTTTTCTGGAATTTCAGTGATAGTAGTTGGAGACTTCAGACAATTACCACCTGTTGGCGACAACTGGGTGTTTCAAGCTAATTCTCGAAATCGTTTAGCAGAAATAGCAGATACGCCGCTTTGGGATTTATTTGTACCGACAGAGCTTAAAGAAATAATGCGTCAAAGGGATAATGTTGCCTTTGCAACGGAATTAAATAATATGGCTAGTGGATGTGTGTCACCTGAAGATGTCAATTTAATTGAAGGTCGGTGCTTTAGTAACTCATCACTTCCAGACACGTGTAAGGGTGCAGTTCATCTATTTAGCAGTAACCGAGAAGTTGAGCATAATTCTAAAATACTCTCAAATATGACTACCGAAGGAGCGATATCCCGGGCTGTGGATAGAGTAAGTGGCGAAGCTAAACCTGCTATGAAAGAAAAAGCTCTAAACACAGTTGCCAAGTTACCTACGTCTCAAACCTACGGATTACCTAATTCTATAAATTTAAAAGTCACGGCTAAATATATGATGACAGTAAATATTAACACGTCAGACGGATTAGTGAATGGAACCACGGGGGTATTGACTGCGATTGATTTTGCAGTCAATCCAACTACCGGTGAGAGAAGACTATTACGCATTTGCATATATTTCGATGACGTAAATATAGGCAAATTAAAAAGAATTCAGAGCTCAACATCCCTCACTCGTTATCAAACACGGTTAAAAAATAATTGGACTCCAATAGAGCCAGTTACGTACACTGTGAAAAGGTACAAATCTTCAAACTTACAAGTGCGTCGCAGTCAATTCCCACTAGTTCCCGCTGAAGCTGTTACTATACATAAAAGTCAGGGTTCCACCTTAGAAAAAGTTGTAGTACATTTGAAGCCCAATATTTTAAGATCTATGTTATACATCGCCTGCTCACGTGCCACTAGCGCTCAAGGTTTATTCATTGTTACCGAGACCTTACGTCCTCCACGTCCACCATCTGAGCATGATTCCGTCGTAACGGAAATGCGAAAATTAAAATTAAATTCCCTGATTCCCATATATCCTCCTGCCAAATCCTGCCAAATTATGTTCCATAACATACAATCTTTACGTAAACACTTGCAGGATGTAGTAACCGATCCACAGACGATGGCATGCGACATTTATTTAGCCGTAGAAACTTGGAGTTGTCTTCAAGATTTATTCAATATGAATAATTTTGAAGAAATAGTTCGAACAAATGGCCCGAAACAGTATTCTGCAAACCCCGGCTTTGGTGTATCTGCAATGGTAAGACATAATCTAGAATATTCCAACCCACGATCTTACAGTGAAATTTCCGGAACTGAGCACTGTGAAGCAGTATCTTTTGAAGTAAATAATGTGAAAATAGTAGCCTTTTATAGATCATGCAAATGCCCCAACAGCGTCGCAGTGGGTATTATAAATAATTTACTGTCGCATATTCTTGCATTATTTTTGGAGATTTTAACGAAGACTCCCTTAGTAACAGCAATACTGCAGTATTTAAATTACTAAATGACGCTGGTTATCACTCCATGTTATAACCCCTACCCACTACTCGTGGTGGGACTCAAATAGATAACATTTTCTCGAACTTTCCATGTGTGGTTGGAATCTATAACTCTTTTTTTTAGTTATCACCGTCCTTTGTGGGCCCGTTTTTAGTGTTCCGTACTTATTAGAGTTCCGTAACAAATAGCCTTTTTAAGTTGGGTTACCACTATGTTCGCGCTCCAGCGGCGCTCCGCGCTCCTGCAACTGCTCCAATGGATACGTCGCGCGCACTTCTACATGCGCTCCCCCTTTGACACACTGCGCTCCCCTTGTGTTCGCGCTAAAAACCATTACAAGTCGAAGCGCCTGCCGCGGAGCGTGCAATGTTGTACGCTCCATATTCACGCACGCACCCACTACCGGGAGCAGTTGCAGGAGCGCGGAGCGCTGCTGGAGCGCGAACATAATGGATACCCACCTTTTATTGTCCTATTAATATCAAATCGCAGTCACAATACGCAATACGAAATATGTTTCCAATGAGATGAGTTTAAACTTACACCGATAGGCGAAACACAAAACAAAGGTACCTTTAGTCGGATAAATATGATATGCAATAATTACCAATCAGGTAGAAGAAGGAGGAGCTAGTCAATTGACATAAACACAATGATGAATGAATTAAATAATACTGTCCTTCTGATCTGTTTAAGTACTAGGACTACCGATGTTACTTTTCACATTCATTGAATTCCACTGGTACTCTTCAGTATTGTTTTCGTTGTAAATTCGTAAAACAATTGACACTCACGGAAACGTACCAGGGCCACAGAAACTTTGAATTCTTAGACGTTTTGTTGTACAAGCAAATGCGATGTTGCTAACACTCACGGCAAAAACCAGGGCAGCAAAAGTGTTGAGTTTTTCGACGTTTTTGTCTTGTAAAATTATAATCTCCTATTATTTCACACTGATTTACTTGGTAAATTAACTTTGCTATTTTGTAAATTAATTTAACACTCATTTAAAGTCACGTCTACAAATTACGGCGGTCCGGAGCGAAGAGGATAAATTGATTTTTATTAATAACTATTTACATAAAAAAATTACTATTGTGTGTGACTATTTAGTGTATTCTATCACTTTGTTAGTTAAATAAAGGGACTATATTCTGCTAAAAATAACCTGTAATCAGTTTTGATGGTGACTCATTAAATAGTGAAGAATAGAAAAATACGTACCTATTCTTTGAATACGAATATGAATTTTTATTATGGTAAAAGAAGAGAACACCTGCCTCCCTGATGGAATGCCTTCAGACATAATCTCGCATCTAGCTAGATGAATATGTTAAAAACTCTCTCTTTCAAAATACTCGTAAGTAGCTACCTGGTAGACAACAAGCAAAAAGATGATGTTGAGATGGGATCTGTTACTGACGGCATCAAATTTATGGAAAACTCTGAGGAGAAAGCTCTGTTAACCCGCCGTTGGTCGCGTGAAAATTTTCTTAATATTTAAAATACTAATATTTTTATCGCATTTAAATTCTAGCTACCTTCCTATAACGACTAAGTACAAACTCAGTCAAGATCAAGCCTAAAAATTAATTTAAGATAAGACTTAAGACTGCAAAATTTAATTCAAATGCAGTGAAAACATTTGAAATAAATCTCGATGAAAAGTTTATAAACTAAACGAAAGATCACCAAGTTAAAGTAACTCAAGAATAGGTGTATGGGGCGAGCACCTCACATGTTACTGACCCTAGACAGAATATTGTATATAACATACATGACGTGACAATAGAAAAGCTGAAATTTGGAAATGGAAAAACTTATTCAGTAACATTTTTATATATCTCACCAATTATTTAAAGGATGTTTCATCTAATGGTCTCGACATTATCGAAAGTTATGAGCAAGATTTAAGTTAAATTTTTAAGAAAAATATTAATGTGAGTATTTTGTTAAAATATTTTATAAAAACATATAATATAAATAATGTTCATGAGTGATGTTTGTAATAATTCAATTCAAATATAGAGATTAATAAACTTGGGTTAGTACGCCTGACTCAATCACATTTATCATGTTCAAGCAGCCACCTAAACTTAACAATGAAACAACAATGAAGGAAATAAATTGTTATTACATTGAGATAGATGTGGTTGTAAAGGTGTTGGGTTGGCCATTCCCTGGGGTAGGTTGGAATTGATAATATATACTGAATTGTAGCAAATTGAAAGAGGAAAGAACAGTTACATATAAGTTTATTGAGTGTAGTGTACATATATGCTCTCAAAATAGTAAAATTTTATATCAACGACTCCACAGTGTTGGTCATTAACAAAAAATTTGGGGGTGGATTGTGACGGCCCATTATTATTATAAATGAAAAATGCGGTGTTGTTTAAACATACAAGTGATGGGACTCGCTTTGAGTAGGATGACCGCGCTGTTAGGTTAAATAACCAATTTATTACTGTTTATAACAGAATGACTCCATATGTGATTTGACTTTATACTATAATTACTATTAGTTGCTTACATTAATGATTACGGATAATACCTGATCTTGAAATAGTATAATAAAATATATTATTATTATTATACTGCGGTCATCATCATCATTACAACCCTTCACAAGTTCACTGCTGTACATAGGACTCCCCCAAGGAATACCACAAAAGCACGATCCTGAGCCACCTGCATCCGTCGACAGCGATAAATATACATATAGAGAAATAAATACATGAACACTACGTTAATAAGTAAAAATCCACCCAGATGAAAGTTCTTGGAAAGGGAGACCACACGGTCAAGGGTCAGCGGGAAAGAGTAAAAAACTGTCGGACGATGTGGGTGGTATCAAGGAGCACCACCTTCTGCTTTTCTGCTTGCAGAGGTCCGTCACAGAGTCTCAGTCACCTCAGATGACCGGAGAGGTTGACTAGGATTAGCCCGTACGCAAAAACGACTACAGGTATAATTTTGGTCGCCAGGCCACCTTGACATGATATGTCGGTCAACTCGTGAGCCAGGTCCAGATATTTTGTTTGCTTGTCTTTTTCGGCTTTCACGAAGTTCTTGTCATAAAGTAAAGTAAAGTAAAAGTAAAGTTACAGCCTATATACGTCCCACTGCTGGGCACAGGCCTCCTCTCATTTCTGAGAGGGTATTAGGGCAAGGAAGTGTCCACCGCGCTGCCCCAATGTGTGTTGGCGGACTTCACAAGTCTTCGAAATTTTTTTTTCTTGTTTCTCAGACATGTAGGTTTCCTCACGATGTTTTCCTTCACCGCCGAGCACGTGGTAAATTAGCACTTAAAATTGCAATTAACAATTTCATTGGTGCCAGCGGGGATCGAACTCGGTTTGCTCGCGTACTGTGAAATTTACAGCGAGCGCTAACCATCTGAGCTACCACGGCTCCACGGTTCTTGTCATACGGAATGGTAATGTCAGCCAAAATATCCTTGACTGTGCCGGGCCCATCAGCACAATATCAGGTTTATTCACAAGAATAGTCCCATCTGTGATGACAGCCCGGTCCCAGTAAAGCCTAGCGCGGTCATTTTCGAGTACGTTTTCCGGCAAGTACTTGTAATAAGGCAGTTATCGGTCCACGAGACTGTATTTCAGAGCGGACTCCTTGTGTAGAATTCTGGCTACTAGTTTGTGCTTGTTTCAACCGAATATGACATGCCTAAGCCAACCAGGATGGCGACATGCTCGACAGATGTTGACGTTGCTATCCCTTAAGATATATCTCCAATAGTTGTTCGTATTAATAAGTCGAAACTGTAGCATACAGACAAAACCCTCGGTTTCTCTAAAGAGGTCACCAAAACGTAGTCAGTGGAGGGAGGCAACACACTTTATTTATGGTGCTTTTTAAATTTAGAATTATAATCAACAAATAATATGGTAATTTGGTATGCATCATTCTGAACATTCAAATATTAAGGTATTCCTTTCGAATCTCAAGTAAAAAGTAGGTGTAAACCTAATCACACCCGGTTTAATATCTGGTAAATTAATGTTGGCTCGATCGATTACATTTTTGTTTAAAAAACTACTAGTTCAAAGAAAACTTATACAACTGTTAATTACGCAATTTATATGGAAAACAATTATTTTGAAGATGATATTATCATTTCTAAATGATTCTTTGCAAATGAATAGTCCGAAATAACATATTAAGTGTACATACTGCATCTATAGCCAATAACAATAATAACTTTATTGTATCCTTAAGATTAAGTACACATGATCACAATAAAAACAAAACTAATTTACAATTAGGTACTACTACAATCATTACGAAGCTACTCACACTCAAACTAGACAGACTATATCTTAGATATCAGGGTCTTCTCCCAAACATGATACAAGAATTTAAGTACAGAGTAGGCGGGCAAAAATTTTAACTGACAAAGGTAATATTTTACTATCCATACTAATATTATAAATGCGAAAGTGTGTTTGTTTGTTTGTTTGTCCTTCTTTCACGTCGCAACAGAGCGTCGGCATGGCATGATTTTTTGTATGGGGATAGTTCGGTGGCTGTAGAGTGACATAGGTTACTTTTTTCCGCGGAAAAACATCTCATTCCCGTTCCCGTGGGAAATATTCTATTTTCCCACGGGAATCATATACTTTTCCGCGGAAAAAAAGTAGCCTATGTCACTCTTCAGCCTCATTCCCGTGAGAAAATAGAATATGTTGCAAAAGTTTGTCCTTCTTTCACGTCGCAACAGAGCGTCGGCATGCCATGATTTTTTGTATGGGGATAGTTCGGTGGCTGTAGAGTGACATAGGCTACTTTTTTCAGCGGAAAAACATATCATTCCCGTGGGAAAATCGAATATGTTGCAAAATTAAATTCAGCTAGGTGGCGCCACCGTGATTCTACAAGACGGACGACGGTACAATGGACGAACACAGAAGGTCAGAATATCTGGATTATTCTATCTTTTTACCAAACTTAAGATAAAAAATGTATGGATCTGTATGTTTACACGCAAGACCAGGAAAGAGAGCGATAAAAAACATAAAATTCACCAGCTGATTTTCTTCAAACGTTTTGGTGCATTGTAATTCACAGAATAGGCGATAACCTCGCAGACGATATTAAGTAATCTGTTGATGCTCTGCCTACCCCGCAAGGGTTACAGGCGTGATTATAAGTATGGATCAGAAATACTATGACCACCTGTCACGCTTTCACCCTTAACTATTACTTAACTATGGTAGAAACAGTTCTTAGTAAGCCTTATTAATAAGCCTAAGTAATATTTATTGAACGGAAATGAATACAGTTCTTATGTGGTTATGAATGAATCCGTATTACAATAAGAAAAATTGTGCAAAATTATAAGAAAAATATTTTTTGAGAGTTCTTATTAAGTAACGTATACATAGTTTAAATTGATTCCGCTAGATGTCGTTACTAGGTTTTTAAAACGCTGTAACGAAATGTTTCCTGACATGTACTTAACTCCCGCCGTTGAGCCGCGCGTCAACTTATAGCACATACGGTATATACGCTTCAATTGTATCTATTTCGTAGCTTATTCGACTACCTGATTTCCATTTCGGTTGTTTGACAGAAACAATATCACTTCTATTTCAAACTCACTCATTTGGATATTTTTATCCCTCTCGATTTTTTCTGACACTATATTTTAAAATACGTAATTTTTGAATTTGTAAAAAATACGAAAATAAATTAAGAAAATAGTAAACGAATGAAATGTGATTCCTTTTGACTTTTGGAAACCTTTCTAGTGTAGTATGTGCAAAATCTTATCACATACGGACGGCATTTACGGTGCAAAAACAAAACACAAATTACTTTCAACGCCGTTGTTAATGACGCGACGATAGCGCGACGACTGAGCTCAGGTTTGCTAATTAGCATAGTTTTTACGTGCCACTTGCGGTGCGCTTTTCTTTTAATATCATTTCCTATAACACACTATCGGGTCTAAAAAGATCTGTTCTAAGCGTTTGGACTGTATTTCGCAAAATGAAGTACTTCCTATCAAAGCATAGAAAATATATCTAAATGTAAATATTTTTTTTTAAGGTTTGGTTGATCTGGTACTAAAATATAATGATTTGTATGACTTAGAAATAATGTGAACATATCGATTTCTGAATGTAAGTTAATTAATTTATTACAGCCTATTAAAGATCATTGATGACCATAGGCCTCACCTATGGGTTTTTTCTTAAGAATATGCGCGTGAATAGGCGCGAATTCAATTTAAACGCGTTTATGTGATGCCGGCGCCACACTTTGGTTTCAAATTGGTTCCAAACTTGGCTACGAATTTATGGCTAATTATTGTATCCAAGTTAATGCGACCACACATCAACTCCAATACCTTTTGGCAAACTTACTAGCCAAAAGCATTGGATGGTTGGACCGCAGCTCAACTCGTCATTTTCTTGCGAGTATGTACCAGCAGCAGTCATGTCGGAAGAGAACCTATTTGCTCTGGCTATTTACGCATATGCATTATTATTACTTAGTCAATCAAGCTGCAGTTACAAAAAGGAACCCAAAGAAAAGACGATTCTGGATGATAAAAATGCACGCTGATCAAATAAAGTAAGTCCTTGATTTAAGTACTTAAACTTAAAACTAGCTATTTCCCGCAACTCCGTCCGCGTTTCCAAAACTATCCTATATTAATCTTTAGGCTTCAACTATCTCCGTACCAAATTTCATCAAAATCGATCCAGAGTTTATTCGTTACATACATACTAACTTTTCCTTTTTATAATATTAGTGTGGATGTAGATATTTGTTAATACCATGCATTTAGAAATTATGTACAGCTACAAGAATTTAAAAAATTGATTGTATACTTTTGATTATTTCAGAAACGACGAAGGAAGGAATTTACTAGCTGACTTGATTCACGAACCTTCAGGACAGTTTGATAATTTCTGTCGGATGTCGTCTTCCGATTTTGAATTTCTACTTCAGAAAATTGGACCAGCAATAGCAAAGAAAAATTCACGTGGGAGACAGGCTATTCCAATTAAAGTTCGCTTAGCAGTAACGTTAAGGTTTCTGGCCACAGGCGATACATATAGATCTCTCCATTTTCTATTTAGAATATCCAGCCAAATAATATCCAAAATTGTACTCCAAGTTTGCAAATTATTAATGCTCTTCGTGACGATGTGAAGGTGAGATTTTTTATCCAAACACGTATTATACTTATTTGTTTTTAAAGAAAAAATCTGAGCTTTACAAAATTACAGACAACAAATTTATGATCATCACTAGTACTTATCTAACGATAATATTAATCAATATCAGAGACTCATTTTTTTATTCTTCATCAATGTCGTTGGCTTTATCTTCTTCTGCTAATTAATATGCTTGTTGTATAATATCTTGTGACAATATTGTTATTTGCTTTTTTTAGGAACACTAGACTGATTGTTATGCGGGGGAATATATGTGTAGGAATTAGATGTAGAAGCTCCATAATTATATATATCAACGTAGTTATTTGACACATCACTATTTGGCACTCGTTTATATGGGGAAGTGGTTTGAATTCGATCATTGTATGTGCTAGAACTGGCATTACTAAGTCCAGTCGAAGGACGAGGGAAATAGTTACAGATAGTCTAGTATGTTGGAGCATGAATATCATACATCGATTTGTCTCGTTCCGTATCGTTCATTCTTTTTAATTTCTTTGATTTAACATATTACAGAAATAATCAGTTTCGTTCATTTCGTGACGTTTTGCGGCCTCTATCATTACTTCTTAAGCATTATTCATTTGTTTTTTAACTTGCTGAAGCTCAAGATTCGGTACAGAAGACGTTTTCTTATCAATTTTTCTATGTGTTTGTTGTTAACCTTGATGCCCAGTTGTTTCTTGTTTTTTTGTTGTTTTGGCTGTTGTTCTGGTTGAGTGGGTTCGTTAGTTGAGGTCTCATTTGACTCCTGTAAGTTCTGAAAATTTAGGAAAAGTATTAGTTATATAATTATGTTGCAAATAATTATAAAGATTACTGTTTTTTTCAGTGGCCTACAACAACAGAAGAGTGGCTCAGAAAAGCATCAAAGTTTCAAGAACATTGTAATTTCCCGCATGGTCTAGGAAGCATAGATGGAAAACACCTTTGAATACAGTCTCCTATTCATAGTGGATCTGAATACTACAATTATAAACAATATTTTAGCATTACTTTGCTAGCAGCTGTAGACAGTGATTACATGTTTATGTTTGCTGACGTGGGATGCCAAGGAAGAATTAGTGATGGAGGTGTCTTCAATAACAGCACTTTAAAGGAAAAAATACATGCTGGTGAAAATGTCCCTAGCGACAGATATTTGCCAGGCCGTAAGACTGAGTGCCCTTTTGTATTTCTCGGTGATAACGCATTTCCTCTAAGTAGAAGGTTATTGGAAACATTTCCTGGTAATCCACCACATGGTAGCAAAACCAGAGTGTTTAATAAGAGATTATCTGGTACACGAGTTGTAGTTGAAAACGCATTTAGAATTATGTCATCAGTTTTCAGAGATTTTAGAGTACCAAAGCTTTTACAGGCCGATCAAGCAAAAGTCATTACTCTGACTTGTATATATTTACACATTTTTTTTAAAAGGAGTAGGATTTTTAATTCTATATATAGTCCAGAAGGAACTTGTAATAATACAGAACAAGCTGATGCATTCAGTCCACTTTCGAGAGTTCCTATCAGACCACCGACAGTGGCTATGAATGTTAGAAACGAATTTGCAGACTATTTTTACCAACAGTAAAAAAAAAACCTTAAGTTTATTGCATTGTATATTGTGCTGTAATTATATTGCGGCTGTAAATGTGTATGTTACAGTTAAAATCCGTTCCTAGTTAGAACGCGTTTTTCCTAGTTAGAACTAGTTCTCACTAACTGCCTTTTTTACAACTAGAATTAACTGCTGTTAAAAATGACTTATCAGTGAAAACTAGTTCAACTAGACAAAACTCGTTGTGTTTAGTTAGAACTGTTTTTGTTTCAACCGAGGTTAAAGTTTAGCCGAGGTTAAAGATTAGTTGACTTTACATACTTAATATCATATTGACTTTAACGCATTTGTTGATTTTTTCTGCCAGCAGTAATTAAATACCTAAGTTGCATAATTGTAATGTACAATGTAATGTGTGCCTATATTGGCAATATAATGTTAATAACAAACTTTAATTGCACATACTTATTTAAAAAAAATGTTATATTAAAATAATGCGTGATTTATTAAACTTACCTCCGTCTTTATAGTTGATTTGCAGTCATAGTTATTCTTCAAAAAAGAATGCATAAATTGGTATGCAAACCAATTTGTTTCGTAAATTTCATGTAAACAGCACCTGACTTTATAGAATTTTTCATTTTTTTTAAAATGATATCTATACGTTGTCATCAACGATTCTTTTTTCTTTTTTAAGTCGGCGACAGTAATGCCTTCTATGCACATCCCTCTTCGAATCCTCTCCCACGAATCTGCTAATACATTTTTATTTTTGTGGTATTTGTTCACTGGATTCTACAGTGCTTCTTCTTGTCGATACAATTCCGGAAACTCGAATACTTGCTCAGTCGAACAGTCGGCATTCGGAGAGTCCATGTCATACGTCCGATTCGCAATCGGCATAGCGCGCACTGATACAAACAATGTGGGGACCAGGGAGCGACGTTGGATCCAATTTGCACGCCCGCCTACCCCCTTCACTCCCCTCGCCTTTGTTGGTGTATGGAAAACCGACACATCACGGGTCGACATTGGCTATTGGACGCAATGTTACGTTTATGGCCAGTATCGGGCCATACCGATCCACACATTGGTGTATTGGATCCAAGACTATAATTTGGAGCCAATATATCCAATGTGTGGCGCCGGCATGAAACAAGAAACATGTTAAAAATACACTGCTCAATACATTGAGAGGGCCATACTTATCTTATGCATATCAACGTATTAGCAATGTATTTTCATTAATGTTGAAATAAATTTAATTAGTGTTATTAAAATCTTAATAAAATAGTTAATTGAAACCAAAAATACAAAGTTGGAGTAAAATATTATTTAATCAAAAACCAAATCAACTGTTTGCATATTTATTCATTCAACCAATGCAACCCATGGAGCGATCAAAATGATTTGATTCTTTAACGCTCCGTTAACAAAAGGAGTTGTTATACATACGAGTAGATATTATATGTATATAAGTATAAGTGTACGTATATATAAGCATACAGTCGACGTATATACGTCAAACTGCTGGGCACGGGCTTACTTTCAATTCAAAGGGTCGTGGAGCAATGAGCGCCACAGCTTTCTTAATTATGGTTGTAGCACGAGTGGGTCGACTCGATTGGAGAAAGACCACGCTCTCACAGAATACTAGCGGATGCTGTGTTTCGCATGGTGAGTGTAAAGAACCAGATACTCTTTTTACTGGAAACGATGTATTCCACCTTAGTCCTCAGGGGTGATAAAGCACCTGCATTTTGATTCCAAATCAAGGATAAATGTTGATAATTTTGGGCCACAGTATCCACTTACTATCAAATATACTGCGTACTCATTTATCATATGCTCTTATTCTATTAAAAATATATAGTAACTATCAAGAAGGTTCGTGGTTACCCTGTCTGCGCAGTTGCTTGAAATAATTGCAGGTTTGTTAAAAGAACAACGACCATGACCTAATTAGGTACAATACAGTCATTAATTACTGATTACATAAAACTCACGCATGGGAAAATCTTTTGTGGTAAAATTTTCTCGGAAGATTCATGTGCTCAATCAGCAGTTGAGAAAGAATGTAAAGGAAAAAAACCGCACGTTAAGGCTTATTCCCTAATTGTGGGTATTTATTAATTCATATTACCTATATGATTTGCAAATTTATATTATTAAAATGCTATAGGTAAATGGTGAGTTTCGTATATTTTCATTGTTTTATAAAATTTAAATGACCAACGAACTTATAGTCCATCTGGTGGTAAGTAGCTATGGCAACCCAATTGACACCGACGACCAACTCAAAGATGGCTACAGATGCAGTATATACACTTAATAATGTTATTTTGGACTATTAATTTGCACAGCATCATTTAGAAATGATGTTATCGTCTTTAAAATAATTTTATTCCGTATAAATTGTGTAATTAACACTTGAATAAGTTTTTTGTCAACCCTAGCAGTTTTTTTAACAAAAATATAATCGATCGAGCCTCCATTAATTTACTAGATAGTAAACCTGTTCACACACACACCTAGTTTTTACTTTAGATTCAAAAGGAATACCTTAATATTTCAATGTTCTGAATAATGTATACCAATTGACCATATTATTTGTTGATTATAATTCTAAATTTAAAAAGTACCATAAAGAAAGCGTTATAACGCTTTACTGAATTTTCAATTTATCAAATTGTGATAATAACACAAAATAATGCGATGTTAAAAAGCTTTTAACTGAAAAAGCTTTTTGCGTTTGGTAACATTAATACATCCCTACTAAATTTTCATGTAAGTAAAGATGTTTGAATGTTCTAACAAAATTAATATTTATAACACAAAACTTATAATTCTGAAACTATAATTAATTCAGATAAACTGATATTTTGTATAAGTTTTTGAATAATGTGCATTTCCTTCCACACTTTGAATACTGCTCACTATAGAATATTTTCTTAAAGTCAAGTAAAATTTTATCTATATTTTGTTATTGTTTTAGTTTCCCTTGTTACGCTAAGGAAACAAAAAATGAACTATTTTATGCTTATTATTTGCTTTTCAATTAATTTCTGTCGCGCTGTAATATAAATGTAAGTATATATATACACATATATACACTCATTATATATATATATATATTTTTATATATATATATATATATATATATATATATATATAATATTTGTAGTAATTTTACACATTCTTGAAAAATAAAACTGCTGTGCTGTGTGCTGACTACAAAAACACAGGAAGTCGAAGGATCCAATTTGCCATTCTACTACTGTAGTATACCATTCCCAACTTGTAGTGATTAATACTCCCGGTATTAGTAACATTAATAAATATAATTAGTAGAAGAAATGTCTCATTTCTTTAACATCAAGTATGAAACTTTTTCGAATATTAAGAAATCCATTTCTGAAAAATTGAGTTTTGGAACCGAGTGAAGTGGAATCAATTGGTAAGTATAGAATTAATGGGGGTTCAATCAATTTAACTAGTGAGCAAAAATTCATACGAGTTTCGTATAATCATTTTGATTCGTATCTTTTCAGAAGCTATGTCAAGTTTCGGTTACGTTAACTAAAAATAAAAATGGTTAATTGATTCAATGTATAATGTAAGTTATTAGTATTTCCAAGTCCCCTACTTTATTCAGTCGTAATATCTTATAAATCATATATATCCCATTTAGTGGCAGATAAGAATACCCACTACCCCACATCTTTCTGTGGGTGTCGTAAGAGGCGACAGAGAGAAGTTATAACAGAAGATGGCCAGCAGTGTCTTTCTGATAACAGCAAAAATCAATAAAAAACTGCGGTTGCCAACCCGCTCACCAAGCGTGGCAACTATGGCAATAGGGTCAACGGGCAACGGCCCCCAGTCCCCGGCGGCACCGCTATTCCTGGCTACGGTGGCGACCATGGTAACGACGGGGTGGGGGGTGCTAAGGATCTCCGGTAGAGGTTCGTCAGCCCCCTAAGACGACTCGACCTAGCAACGTATAACGCACGCATCCTGAGGACTGACGAGAAGATCCTGGAGCTAGAAGAAGAGATAAACAAGTTGCGCTGAGGTATTATAGGATTATCTGAGGTCCAAAGTGAAGAACTTGTTCTATACTGGGAGGGCGACCATCGGGCCCAAGGAGGTCTTGGATTTATCCTCCCCAAGTCTTGTTAACAACGTTGTAAAGATTGAGTGTGTTGATGAGGGTTGCGTTCCTTATACTCAGAATCACCTAACGGTATCCGCTGTAGGTCATACAGGTTTACGCACCAACCTCGGCACATCCTGATGAGGAGGTGAAGAAAATATATGAGAATATTTCTACAGCCATGCACCCGCCAAAACCAATATACGGTGTTAATGGGAGAGTTCAACGCAAAACTAGGTACAACAGAGAACCGTGAGCTGAAAGTATGGGAATTTGGGATAGGGCAACGAGAATCTAGGGGCCAGCAGTTGGCCGAATTTATGGAGAAAGGGGGGTTCTTAATGATAAACTCTTTATACCAAAAGCGGCCCCACAGAAAAAGGACCTATTCTAGCCCCAACGGTTCAAAAAATGTGATTGATTTCATTATGACGACCAGACAACAACTGTTCACTGATGTCTCAGTGATCGCAAGGGTGATAACTGGAAGTGATCACCGAATTGCATGAATGCAATGAATGCCACACTGAACCTAATAGTGAAGTTGGCAAGGTCATGTCTAATGACGTCAACGCTCCGTCCTCCTCGTGCTCTAATTCGAAGCCCCGAAAACTTTCAGCTTGAGTTAAAAAATCGTTTTCAGTGCCTAGAAAACTGCAATGAAATGGACGATATAAATGGAAAGTGTCCATGCGGTCGGAGCTAAGTTCTGTAAGACCCGCCACATAATAACACAAAAACTCTCTGATTACACTCTTAATCTCATGACTGTGAAGCTGCAGTCGTCAGCACATTTGACAGCATACAGGCAACTGAACAGACAGATCTTAAAATGCATGCGGCAGAAAATACGCAACTTTAATAAAGTTCGTATTGAAGAAGCGATTGAGCAGAACTAGGTCTGCAAAGTCTTTGCCAGAGATCTGCCTGTTAGAAAGAGCCAACTGTCGAAGCTTAAGACCGAATGTGACAGCGTCGTTTCCGGGACACCTGAGATTCTAAGTGAGATTGGGAGATTCTATGGGTAGCTGTATATTTCAGCGTTGGAACCTCATGCAAGTGTGAGTAACGATGCAAGGGTAAGTCTTATCTGACACTGTTCCAATGATATGGTGCCAAGTTGACTGTCGGTATATCGAAGTGCTGAAGTGTTTGTACAATAGGGGTACGATGGCTATCCGAATACAGAATCAGAGTACGAAACCTATCCAACTGCAGACAGGTGTAAGAAAGGGTGACGTAATATCCCCGAAACTTTTCGCCACTGCGTTGGAAGACGTTTTCAAGCTACTGGACTGGAAAGGATACGGTATTAACGTCAATGGCGTGTACATCACTCACCTTCGATTTGCCGGCGATATAGTCCTTATGGTAGAATCGCTGGAAGACCTAAGCAATATGCTCAATGACCTCAATAACGTTTACCAACGGATAGGTCTTAAGATTATCGTGGACAAAACGAAAATCATGTGTAATATCCATATCACACCTATGCCGGTGGTTGTTGGGAGCACTAAGCTCGAAGTTGTTGACGAATATCGTTATCGTTTATCTGGGAAAAGGAGTCTGACTAGGTAAGTCCAATTTCGACCGACAGGTCAATCGACGGATTCAACTCGGCCGGCCAGCGTTCGGGAGATTGCGACACATCTTCGCTTCAGGCACACCTCAAAATCTCAAAACTCGATTGTGCAACCAGTGCGTGTTTCCAGTGATGACCTATGGATCTGAGACGTGGTTCTTCACTGCTGGCCGTATGACGAAGCTCAAAGTCGCTCATCGAGCTATGGAGAGAGCTATGCTCGAAGTTTCTCTGCGTGATAAAATTAGGAATACATGTTTTTGTTAATATTTGGTAAGGAGTAGAAAAAAGGCTATTTTATTAGATTTTTAATTATTTCATCATATATCATTTCAGTCATTTTATATAGGTACTGATTTATTGCACCGCTTGGCTTACTAAGTCGACCAACAAATGAGCGATTACGAGGTTGTATCCCAGCCGATGCTTACCG